TGTTAGCAGCATGGTCCTGTTAGCAGCATGGTCCTGTTAGCAGCATAGTCCTGTTAGCAGTTTGATTTTGTTAGCAGCATAGTCCTGTTAGCAGCATGGTCCTGTTAGCAGTTTGATTTTGTTAGCAGCATGGTCCTGTTAGCAGCATGGTCCTTTTAGCAGCATAGTCCTGTTAGCAGTTTGATTTTGTTAGCAGCATAGTCCTGTTAGCAGCATGGTCCTGTTAGCAGCATGGTCCTGTTAGCAGTGTGGTGCCGTTGGCCACATTGTCCTGTTAGGCCCATGACCTCGTTTCGTCCAGCACCCAAAGTATGAAATTACTAATAAATCACAGCACAAAAATAGTCAGCCAATCCAAGCAATCAGTCAAAGCACACGATCAGGACAATCTGAAACACTGCTTGAGATTATCCTTGTGGGCACTCAGAACCAGTGTGTCTGGTTAGCTTAGTGAGATGCAACATATATGTAAATATGTACATATTTATATATGGAACACTTGCCCCCTCCAGGTCTGCCTGATGAAAAGGGCCGTGTCCAGATTCTCAACATCCACACAAGCAAGATGCGAAGCTTCAACCTCCTGGCTATAGACGTTGACGTCAAAGAGCTGGCTGCTGAGACAAAGAATTACAGCGGTGCTGAGCTGGAAGGGCTTGTCAGGGCGGCACAGTCCACCGCCATGAACCGACACATCAAGGTCACCTAGAGACATGTTCATAACAAAATCAAGGCCTAGCATTCCTTACATACATTTATACCATCTGCTGCTGTTCCTGTTAGCGTTGTAGACAAAGATCATGTACGATGAGAAGGGACAGAGTTATAAATGGAATATGCACAATCTCATGCCAGATTATGAACTCTTGTAAAAGGTTTTAATGCTCTGAGTATACAGTTAGAATGACTCATAGCTACTACCACATCAAATATTAGCCCATTATCTGGCTTATAGTCATTTTGGCTAAGCTCTATTAGCTGTGGCAACCATCTGAATTGGATTAAGTAGATATGCATCCAATGATTGCTTTATGAGTTTCTTTAAAATACATCCACTGGTTCGTGGGATATTTTGTTAACAGAAAGACTGCTAACTCCAAAAGTTAATGCCAAAATTTTATGACAAAACATGTAAATTGTATCGTTTGGAATACGAATTGTGAATAATTCTCAACTACTTCTGCACCAAGTTTTATATCAGTTTCTGCAAAACTAAATTAATTTTGTGTCGGTAATGTTGATTAGCTGTACCGATCATCTTGGAATCAGGTGACTCCAAACATTAACCCGTCGTGGATGTACACCCTATAGTTACTTTATGAAAGTTTCATTAAAGTCCGTCAATCTGTCATTTGATATTTTTCTAACAGATGGACAGAGCTAACTCCAATGGTCAATGACCATTGAGTTTTAAAAACAGAGCTCGCATGATCAGTTAACACATGAAACAAGTTGGGAATGACTCACAACCACTACCAAACCACAGTTTCTTTTAATTCTGTTCAGTGGTTCATGAAACATTTTGCTGTGAGCATGTTCAGCAAAAATGCAGAATGAATGCTAAATGACAGCAACTAAACAAAAGTAGTGTAACAAAGCTTATTTTCTTCAAAAGACTGAGCATCCAAATACAGTTTCTTTACTGTTTATTTGCTCATCTGCAGAAGACAATAAAGCAAACATGTCATTTGTCTTGTGTGTGTCCTGCACTTCTGGCTCCTACACATGCAAAAATACAGTCAATGTTACACTGTAGAATGGCTGCAAACCATCTGCAGTCATTACAGTCAACGACCACAAGAGGGCGCACTAAACTGAAAATGGTGCCAAACTAGCTTACAACTGGGACAATAAAACATCTATAAAACTTTTTTTTTCTTTTGTGGTCATAATGAAAAATAAAAGTCACAAGAACATTGTAAAATTGATATCAAACAACATGCCAAAAGATTTATTACTTAAATAGCTACATTTACAAAGATAAGAAGAAGAAATAAAAATAAAAAAACGCCAACATTTTCACACTACTTATCCTAACATTGCATGGAGGCAAATTGAGGTAGAGCTACCTACCAGGACAAAATGTATTACATCATTTCCACCTTTCACACATTTCAAAATAAAATACCTCAATAAGATAAAATTCACAAACGTATTATTAATACAGTAAACAATTCTAATAATTCTGAGTCGTGTCATCTGGACAGTTTCCTTTTTATAGACGTTTTCACCCTCTATCCGGAGGGCTTCATCCTCTGACTGAGGAAGCCCTCTGGATAGAGGGCGAAATGTCTCTATAAAAAAAGAAACTGTCCAGATGACCCGACTGAGAATTATTGAATTTGGTACTTGGATGATTGAGCATGAACTTTGGCTGACAGTAAACAAATATTTCAGAGTACATTTTAACTCCATTACACCAGCAAACACAAAGATATAAATAAAAATAAAAACTAAATATTTCAATGAATGCAACCTTTTTCAAATGTTAAAGAGATATTTATGTATTTCTATAAGGAAAACAATTGTAAAAACAAGCAAAAAGAATTAAATATATAAGTCGTAAACACCAAACGTCATAACCGTAACTATAAAATTATAAACTGCTAAACAATAATGCTGACTTGGTATTCACACAATTTTGTCCCAATAACATGACTGTTGTCTTTTGTTACTTTCCAGGCTACGTCTACGGTGGAGGTGGACATGGAGCGGGCAGAGAAGCTGCAAGTCACCAGAGATGACTTCTTTGGATCACTTAACAATGACATCAAACCTGTAAGCTGCTTTCAACATTCATATTGTGTGAATGTTGGAGGAAAATATTCTCTCTTTATCTGTTTATCAAAAGGAGCCACACTCGACGACAGGAGAAGAATTGTAACCGTTTTTTCCTTGCAAGGACCGATTTTTAAGACAGGTTACACAGATATACAGGAAGTGCACATGAAGCCCAGCCATGAGGATCTGCTGCGAGCCATCTGTGCAGCTTGTTTTTATCCACTTATCAGTTCAGCCGAGCTCACAGACTCAGAGGCGACCTTGGAGCGACAGCTGCACGCTGCAGATTCACCCTGCTCCTCATCCAGCTCTCCACTAACTCAAACATATGGTTCATGGGCAGCGTTAACTTTCTCAGCCATTTATAAATTTTGACCAAAAACTACAGTGAAAACATTTAAAACACTAAAATCAATGAAGAACGAGGTTATTCACTGCTTCTTTTCCACTTTATTTTTAGGCGTTTGGTACAAATCAAGAGGATTATTCCAGCTACATCATGAACGGTATCATCAAATGGGGCGACCCAGTTACTCACGTCCTGGATGATGGAGAGCTGCTCGTACAGCAGACCAAAAACAGCGATCGCACACCACTGGTGGCTGTGTTACTGGAGGGTAAGACAGTTCTAAATTCATTATTGTCTGCCACCAAAGGTAAAAGTCAGTCATTTTCTCTCTGTGCTCTCGGTGAAAGCAGACACATCCTCTTCTGCTCCATCTCCCAGCTTCCCTGCTTTGCTCTCTTGTCTTGTGAACCCTTCATAGAGCTTCTTTTTTTTTCTGCACACCTTCCTAATTTGATGGATTTAATCAGCTGGTCTCTCAACGAAATCGATCAACTTCTCCCGACAGGAAGTCAGGGTGAATGGAGGACCCTCTTACCTCGACGGAAACAAAATTGGATTCATGATGACAACTGGATTCTGCTGTTTGGGTTGATGAAATCTGGATTGTTTACAAATTCATGTGGAATGTGTCGAAGCTTGGCAGCACTCAGACTGAATTATGTGGAGCTGCGTCAGAGCTGAAGCAGGCTGATATCAGGACTGTGAACTTTCTGGCAGCATCCATGAATGGTTGGGAATAATCTTGGAGAAAGCTGTAAGCTTGACTTTCGGCGTAAATAATCAATTTGGCTGTTTGGAGTCACCATCAGAGAAATGTTCCAGTGAAACTTTAAAAGGCAGAAACAGCAATTTATGAGTTCTGCCTGACCCAAACTGAATCTGGACCTGGCCTTGAAGGTGGACTATCGCAATTCCTCCTGGGATGTTATGAAAAACAAAGACGCTCTGTCTGTCTCCTCACCCCCTCCCTTCTCCAAGGCCATGGACAGAACCTCAACCGAGCTGATGATAACAAACACCTCTTATCTGGACAATGGCTGAGGGAGGCTCTGGACTATGCTACAACCTTCCCTTAAGACCCAATGTCTTCACCGGCCTATATGTATCATGTCTATTTATGTTGCTTTGCTGTGGTAGGTTTTTTGATGCCTCAGACCGTGTACTGTCTAGGACATGGTGTGAGAGATTTTTTTATACCTTCTCTCCTCATGTTTTCTTCCCCTTTTTTCATCTAAGCCTAAGTGTATTCTGAAAAGGATAAGAGGCCGCGCTCTTAAAGAGCAGCAGCTATGTGCACTCAGCCCATCTTTTGGACAACTGTACAGACATACTCTCGTTGTATCTCGGTGCAATGATAATAAAGTTTATTCTGATTCTGACTCTAATGTGGCAGCTATGACTGAGTGGTTACAGCAGTCGTCCTCCATTGGAAGAGTTGGGGGTTCGATTCCACCAGCAGTCACATGAAGAAGTGACCCTGAGCAAGACACTGAACCCCTCAGTGCCTACAATGTGTGTCCCATCTGTGTTTGAACGTGATAAAGCACTGATAAGTCTTTATATAGATCTAGTAGAGTGCTGTATGAATGGGTAAAGGAGGGCACAGTTGTGTTGTAAAGAGCTTTGAGTGTCTTGATAAGATAGAAAGGTGCTGTATAAGTACAGTCCACTTACCATTTGTGATATAGATTATATACAAGCACCACAGCCACTCGGCAAAAGCCAACACAAAAGGGCTGTATCTCAGTCAGTAGTTGTTATGAGTCAACACATGCTTCAAATAGATCACGTGAGATTTTACAATATCCTACAAGATTGTGCAGAGCATCATTCAACACTTGCTCTTCTCAAGGGCGGATGTCTTCTCCTCTCCCTCTCCGCTTTGCTTTTGCTCTGTCCTGTCTATGAAACTGCTTTAGAGCCTCTCTTCTACAAATCTTCCAAATCATAACTATGGACTTGGATTTGGTCAGTTGGTCCCTCAACACAACTGGTAACATTTCTTTGAAGAGAAGACTGGCTTTAGGCGAGCCGATTTGCCCTGTTAGTACACACGCAGCTGGATATCTCATCGACTTTGAAGACTTGATGACGTGTCTATCTCTGCTGTCATCTGTGGATTTTAAGGATGCGTTTATAATTGTATTTATGATAACTGGTTCCTGCTTTTTGGATTTTTCTGGTTCCTGGTCTATCAACAAACAAGGAAGTCGTCGGCAGCAAATCTGGACCTGGTCAGGCTGCCTGCCTTATATGATGGCTTGGTTCGTGCCTCGAGCACCCAGACTTTTGGCAGAATGGATCAGATCTCGGGGATTATTCTCAGGCACATTCCGTTGGTATGGTCATTTAATTTGGACGTTTTGGAACCGAGTGGACTGACACAGACTCAAGGTAGAAGTCAGTAAAAGTTCTGCCTCTCCCCAAAACAATCATGTTCATCATGAATTCAGCTCCCTGACTGGCCTTGACAGGCCATCTTATCTCAACCCGCCTGGAAGTTTTGTAAATCTGATGCTCAGCTCCTTCCTCCCTTACTACTGAGGAATTGGACTTTTCAGAGGAGCCCAGCTGACTAAACATTCTGTCATCATTTCAGGACTCTGGATTCGTCTCTATTCGTCCTCTGCACCCCCCAAGTGTGCACAGATCTCTCCACAGGGAACTATTTGAACTGAGTGATTTTATCTGAACTCTGCAGTGCCTCTGTGTGTTGTCTCTGACTGTTCACCACTCTTACGCCCCCCCCCCCCCCCACACACACACACGTAATATTGGCATCATTATGTGCTCGTGTGAGAGATTTTTTTTTCCATTATCACACTGTTGACCTTCAAACAGAGGTTAAAAGCGTGTAAGGATTTATTTTTTTTTGTCTCCAAACCCTATGTGTCATTTTTCACCACTTTTATTGTCTGTCCAAACAGGTCTCACTTGTAAATGAGTCTTTGAGGATCAATGTGACTTATCTGTTTAAATAAAGGTTGAATAAATGAATCAGTGTCTCTACTTGGCTCAAAGGCCATGCCAAAAATGATGGTAAAAACGATATACAAAGTATGATAATAATGAATAATACTGTTTATTGTAATAGTTGCAGAAAAAGGGAATAATATTAAGGGCTATGTGAGTAAAAACAAAAATTACTTGACTTTAAAGCCAAAGGAAAGAGCCAAGGTGCCAGCAGGATGTCATAAGCTATTAGTTTAAAGCTGACATTAAAGACTGTGGGCAGTATGCGCTAGGCATTTTATTATTCAGAGCAAAGTATGAAGGAACAAAAGTGTTCTGATGCAGACTGTACGTTCACAGGCCCGCCACACTGTGGAAAGACGGCGTTGGCGGCTCAGATTGCAGAGGACTCTCAGTTCCCCTTCATTAAAATCTGCTCTCCAGACAAGATGATTGGACACTCAGAGATCTCCAAGTGCCAGGCAATCAAAAAAGTAAGGCTGCTTTCTGACTGTGGAGTTTGTCCGTGCAGTGCACGTTCAAATCTATCAATTTGTTCTATCTTTGTTCCAGATCTTTGATGATGCTTATAAGTCTCAGCTCAGCTGCGTGGTGGTGGATGACATTGAGCGTCTGCTGGACTACGTTCCAATTGGTCCTCGTTTCTCCAACCTGGTCCTTCAAGCTTTGCTGGTGCTGCTAAAAAAGCCTCCACCCAAGGTTAGAGCTCTCCTGTTGACATACCACGTCACTCGTTATACCATTCTGGTGTCAGCAGATGAAGTGTGCTGCGAAAATACTCTGAACCCTTGGTAATCGTTCTGTTTTGTTTCCTTACAACCTTCAGTTTCAAAAGATTTTTAATCTGATTACAAGTAATTATTCTAGAAAAATACTTAAGGTTATGGAAGTTAAATGAAAAGAAAAGCTGAGTGGTTAGAGCAGTCGTCCTCCAATGCAAGAGTTGGGAGTTCAATTCCACCAGCAGTCACACGGTGAAGTGTCCCTGGGCAAGACACTGAACCCCTCATTGACACTGATGTGTGTCCATCAGTGTATGAATGTGATAAAGCACTGATTAGTCTTTGTATATATCTAGTAGAGTGATGTATGAATGGGTAAATGAGGACACAGATTGTTGTAAAGAGCTTTGAGTATCTTGATGAGATAGAAAACGCTATAAGTACAGACCATTTACCATTTCTGTCAAAAGTCAAAAGATGAAATAAACAAAATCCATATTTATGAATCTAATTGCCAAATAATCTCATTATCTATACACCTGTTCTGATGGTCTCCAGTCTCAACACCAGTTCCACATCTCTAAGCTGTAAGGTTTCCCTTCAAGCGAGAAACGGCATGAAAATCAGTTAACTTTGAAATTTGTGGAAACTAACAGATCAAGGTTGGGTTATAGAAAGTATCCCAAACCCTAAACATCCCACAGATCCCAGTTAAATCCATTATTAGGAAATGAAAATATAAACCTGCCAAGAGAGGACTGTCCACAAAAACTCAGCCTGCACAAGGGGGGAATTCAGTAGAGAAGCAACCTCGAGACCAAAGACTGAGGTGTGGGATTAGGGTTCTGACCACTTGAAACTTCACACTTCTGTGTTTTGTGAAAGTGACTAGAAAGAGATATTGCAAATAAAATAAAAGGTAGTTTTGAATTTGCCAAAATGCTAACTGTAGACTCCCTAAACATGTGGAAGGAAGTGCTGTGGTCAAATAAGACCTAAATCAAAGTTTTTAGTATTGAGGGCAACATCGTCTATTGCAAACCTAACACCCATCATCAGGCTGTGGACACTATCCCATCAGTGAAGAGCAGTGGTCGCAATATCATGGTGTGGTAATGCTTTTCATTTGTAGGGAAGGAGAAATAGTTAAATGTCCTGGAATGGTCCAGTCAAAGTCCAGACCTTAACCCATCTAAGAACTATTAAATTGGTTTAAATATTGTTGGATACAAGGAACACCCATCCACCCTGATTGAGCTGCAGCAATTTTGTCAAGAATATGAACAAAAGGTCCAGAGGTTACATCGACCATGTTGTGGAAACACAAAGACACAAAGGATTGATTGTTGAGAGCTGAAAGGTTTGGTCAAAAACTTCATTGCCTTTTTAACATATCTCAAAAAGGAAACATAGTGGTCCTTTCCTGTTTCCATATTGTTTCCTGTATGTTGTCTTGCAGGGCCGTAAGCTGCTCATTATTGGCACCACCAGCAGGAAGGATGTTCTGCAGGAGATGGAGATGCTGGATGCCTTCAGTACCACCATTCACATCCCCAATATCTCTACTGGGGAGCAGCTAGTTGAAGCCTTAGAGGTATATTATACTCAACACTGGGTTTGTATGTGCTAACGTAATCTTCACATCTCCACTAACTTTGCTGTCTTTACAGCTGCTTGGGAGCTTCACAGATAAAGAGCGTGCCAGCATCGCACATCAGCTCAAAGGGAAGCGAGTCTGGATCGGCATCAAGAAACTCCTGGTGCTCATTGAGATGTCCCTGCAGGTATGGAAGATGAAGAAACGACCTCAGACAATAAAACTGATGAACCATGGTCGATATATTCAGGTCAATTCAGTTTATTTCTATAGCTCCAAGTTGCGACAGAAGTTGTCTCAGGTTGCTGTACAAAAACATTGACATACATAAAAAGCCAATTAGTAAAAAAGATTTATCTAGGCAGCCAGCAGACTCGTTGAATCTTCACTTCGTCACAGTCTCCCATTTTGAGCAAGCACAAAGGCAACAGTGGAAAGGAAAAACTCCCTTTTAACAAGAAGAAACCTCCAGCAGAACCAGGCCCAGGACGAGCGGCCATCTGCTTCGACCGGCTGAGTTTTAGAGGACAGGAAGGAGAGACAAACACAGAATGGCAGGTCCAGATGGACTTTCTACTGGAAGAAAGTCCACCACTTGTTCAAAGACAAAACATCTCTTCCAAAATATCATCATTTTGTAGGGATTACTGGAAGTAATAACTTTCTAATGCTTCCTTGTTCATCACCATTTCTATTTGGTAACTCATAGGTCCGTTACTTTATCTTGATGAATGAGGAAGCGTTAGAATTTTACTTCTAGTAATCCATATAATCCATTGTATATCTTTTTTCTTTTTTTAAAATTGTATTATATTTGTTGTTTGGATGAAATGAAATGAATAAATAAAACATACATACATACATACATACATACATATAAAATTATATTTTGAAAGGGCTGTTTTGCCTTTGGACACACAGTTTAGCTAGCCCAGCTGTTTCAAAGCAAACGTAATTAGCTGTGACTATATACGATATTTATTTGGTATATATATATATATATATATTTTGCATTAACATACTGAACCTTCAGCAAAAATACAAAAAAGCATATTTTATAAAATAGTGATTTGTTATTAGTATATGTTGCTTTGTAGCTTTGTTTGGACCATATGAGTGTTTGTTCTGCTGATCATCTTATAGACATACATTGATGTTACAGAAATATTTTCTGACGTACTCAACAAGGCCCAAAATAACTTTTGATAGTGACTGTACTACTTCTAAATGTTCTGCTTAATTTCCCTGTTTGTAGATGGATCCAGATTACAGAGTGACCAAGTTCCTGTCTCTGCTCAGAGACGAAGGAGCGTGAGTACAATCCCTTTACCCCAAGCTCATGACTTTTTATTACCTGCCAACATCCATCATTTTAAAACTCATCCTTTATTGCCATCTTTCTTTTAGAATGTGCTCTTTTCCTTGGAGTGACACTATTTTACTATGATCAAACACTTGACCATTGTTGCCATTTGTCACTTTAACAATGCAGACAAAGGCTTACAAAAGATGACCTTCAAACTAACTTCAACGACTTTATTTTGCAATCACCAGGTTGAATGAAGGTGATCAAATCCGAATTTAAAGGTGCTGATTGCTCATGCTGTTTACCGGTAAGATTAACAACAAAGTGATGAACCTAGAACTAGAATATCCTGTAGTTTAACTATTAGAATACCATTTATGTATGTTTCCCATGTGGTGTAGAACTGCAGTATCAAAGCATCAAGTCAACAGTTGTGGGGCTCTGTTGTGCAACTAGTTGGGTCAATCACTTCATTTTCTTAAGATAACTAGAACTTCCTGTAAATTCTCAGGGTTGAATAACTTTGCTGAAGTCTGCTAAAATTTGATACTGAGTTGTTAAAGCTAAAAAAGGCAGAACTCTAGCTAAAAGCCAAAAATAACAAAACACTAACTAAAAACTAAAATGATAAAAATACTAGTTAAAAGTAACAAAATACTAGGTAAAATCTAAAAGTAATAAAAAGCTATGTAAAAGTTAAAAATAGCAAATTGCTAGCTAAACGTAGCAAAACGCTAACTACAAGCTAAAAGTAGCAAAATTGTACCTTATAGCTAAATGAAGCAAAAAGGCTAAAGGCTAGCTAAAATCCAAAAGTATTCTAAGAAGACAAAAATATGTGTTCTAAATAAAATAGAAAAGACAATAGCATTTACAGAGTAATTAAAGAGATTTCAATGTATTTTGGGGTAAAACTATTTGTAAGTAAAGTAAAATCTTTTGAAAAGTACAAAAGATACAAAATTTGAAATTTTATCAAGTCGTTGCACCCACCTGACTAGGCTGAATGCTTTAATGTATTAATGGATAATTTTTTTTTTTTTTTCATTTGGCCTTTATTTATCCAGGTTAGTCTCATTGAGCCACGAGAACTCATTTTCAAGAGAGACCTGTTTAGGGAGCACATGGTGGGGTTAAGGGCCTTGCTCATGGGCCCAGAGTGGGGCGAATGAGGGTGGGGGCAAGTGTGGGTGTTTCACCTACCCCACCCACAATTTTTGATGTTGTCGGGGCCGGGGCGTGAACCGGCGATCTTCGGATCACAAGCCCACCTCTCTAACCTCTAATATATTGTCACTCACACCATGTGTTCCAACTACAGAGGTATCACACTCTTAAGCCTCCCTAGTAAGGTCTATTCAGGGGTTCTGGAGAGGAGGGTCCTTTGGATTCAGGAGGAGCAGTGCAGTTTTTGTCCTAGCTGTGGAACACTGGACCAGCTCTACACCCTCAGCAGGGTCCTGGAGGGTGTGTGGGAGTTTGCCCAACCAGTCTACATGTGCTTTGTGGACTTGGAGAAGGCATTTGACCGCGTCCCTCGGGGAAACATGTGGGGGGTACTCCGAGAGTATGGGGTACCAGGCCCTTTGATATGGGCTGTTAGGTCCCTGTATGACCGGTGTCAGAGCCTGGTCCGCATTGCCGACAGTAAGTCGGGCTCATTCCTGGTGAAATCTGGACTCCGCCAAGGTTGTCCTTTGTCACAATTCTGTTCATAACTTTTATGGACAGAATTTCTAGGCGCAGCCAAGATGTTGAGAGGATCTGTTTTGGTGGCCTTAGGATCACATCTCTGCTTTTTGCAGATGATGTGGTCCTATTGGCTTCATCAGGTCATGATCTACAGCTTTCACTGGAGCGGTTCGCAGCCGAATACGACGCGGCCGGGATGAAGATCAGTTCCTCCAAATCCGAGGCCATGGTCTTGAGCCGGAAAAGGGTAGAGTGCCCTCTCCAGGTCAGGGAGGAGGTCCTACCCCAAGTGGAGGAGTTCAAGTATCTTGGGGTCTTGTTCACAAATGAGGGAAAAATGGAGCAGGAGATTGATAGTCAGATAGGTGCGGCGTTGGCAGTGAAGCGGGCATTGTACCGGTCTGTCATGGTGAAGAAAGAGCTGAGTCAAAAGGCGAAGCTCTCAATTTACCGGTTGATCTATGTTCCTACTCTCATCTATGGTCATGAGCTTTGGGTTGTGCCCGAAAGTACGAGATCTCGGATACAAGTGGCCAAAATGAGTTTTCTCCGCAGGGTGTCTGGGCTCTCCATTAGAGATAGGGTGAGAAGCTCGGTCATCCAGGAGGGACTCAGAGTAGAGCCTCTGCTTCTCCACATCGAGAGGAGCCCGTTGAGGTGGCTCGGGCATCTGGTTAGGATGCCTCCTGGACGCCTCCCTGGTGAGATGTTCCAGGCACGTCCCACTGGGAGGAGACCCAGAGGAAGACCCAGGACACGATGGAGGGACTATGTTTTTCGGCTGGCCTGGGAACGCCTTGGGATTCCCCTGGAGGAGCTGGACCAAGTGGCTGGGGAGAGGGAAGTCTGGGCCACCCTACTTAGACTGCTACCCCCGCGACCCAACCCCAGATAAGCGGAATAAAATGGATGGATGGATGGATGGATGCTGCTCAAAGTGTGCAGAAGACGTTAAATTATTAAAAAAACATACAGAAAAATTAAAAATCAGTATAAAAAAATGTATGAATGAATCCAAAAAAGTGGATTTTTATTCTGAAGCTGAAGACCTTTCACTTCCTATACAGGAGTCTTTATCAATTCTAAAATGTCAGGAGGGTGTGGTGCTCCAAGCTTTTTTGCTCATTATGCCAATTTGTAAAAATAACGGTACATTTTCAAAATAGATCAATCCATACTAACAAATGCAGCACACCTGAACAAGTCAGAGGCAACAAAGTGCTCAGTGATGGGGCTTAGAATTCTGGAGATACATATTTCCAAGTTTTGACCATAATTGTTGCGCCACCTGTAGGTTGATGGATTTCTTTAGTATTATTTAGCAATTAGCACAGTTTATTTTTCATTTGAAAAGCTTCTGAATATCTCTGACAGTTTAGACTCTATACCTGATTTTGTGAGAAAAAAACAAATAATTGAGACACTATAGACCACGCCCACTTCTGCTTTAGAAATAATATCCTAGATGTATAAGCTCAGGGCTGTATCCTAAAGGTCTGTACTAAATATTTTAAAGATCCAATCAGCCTTATTTGCGGGAAATTTGCCTATGCACTAATGTTTATCAAATGTGGTCCAGAAACTCAAAATGAACTCATCTCACAGTAGTTTGAATTTCGATTTAATGAATAATATAGTTTTAATGTTTGACTAAATTTGTGTTTAGTTTGCTTGTTGCCCAAACTATTTGCCTAGATATAACTTTCATATTTTTTAAAAGAGAATTACTCTGTCTTCCAAACATCAAATCCATGTGGTGTCTAGATTTTAGATGGTGAGTTTTCTAGTGATCAAACTTAAATATTTAAAAACAGTCAAAGGTAGGTCTTTCAAATTTTGCGGCAGAAATGAGCATGGCCTATACCAAAATTTTACATCTTACGTTTTGATGTTAGAGGACCAAATGCAAAGTCTACAATTATAGCACCTCCTACAGGTAGACATGTCTGAGTACTCTTCTGTGCCGTACGTGCAGGCCATAATTATTACCTTGTATATATCATCTCAGGACGCCTTGCAGTTTGGGCCGCAGTATAACTTTTAGTGGTGTAAGTAAATTAACAATATATACATATTTTTTTTAATTTACCAGTAACTGTTGCAGAGTTTTATGCTCCGCTGGAAGCATGGATACTCTGCTGCTTTTCAGCTGCGTCGTCTTGCCTCCACGGGCTTGGACCGCTAATTAAATATAAAAGCATCATCATATCACTGCAGAAACTGTCACCACTTTTTTTTTTTTAAACATAACTATTTTTTGGTCATCATCATTATTCTAAAACATCATGACAAAGTTCCATGTTGCTTCTCATTTTGTTTTCTTTTTCTTTCATTGTATTTATTGTTCTTGTTATATGAACATTTCTTTATTTCTCTGTAAATCATTTTATATGCTGTTTGCATGTTATATTTTGACTACAATATTCTGAATGTCACTTGCACTTGGAGCAGTACTGCTCTTTAAGATAAGGTGTCACAAGCTGGTAGAACAATTTTATAAATTTACAATATGTCATTATTAGGGTTATCATTAGGGTGCCAAACATTTGCTGGCTGCTTTATTAGGCACAACCATTACCACACATGTGTAATCGACCAATCACATGGCAGCAATTTAGACAGATTTAGACATCTAGCCACACAACACAGATACCTGCATGATGAAGAGGACTTATTAAAGTTCAAACTAAGCATCAGAACAAGAAAGAAAGAAAGGGGGTTTAAATTAGAGCCCGACCAATATGAAAATTTTGGCTATCACCAATACCGATAGTGGGAGGGGGTTGCCCACAGATAACCGATATAATGACTGAAAATATTTGAGCTTTGTTCACCCCCAAGAATGTAAAAAAAAAGCGAGTGGAGGCGGGCTTGTTTCTTTAGCACAGCTGTTAGCAACCACGAAGCTAAGCTGATCAGAGCTATGCTATATGTAAACCTACAATAGGTTTACAAGTGGTGCACTGGTCATAAAAACAGTCGTTCTAACGTGCGTTCACATTTTCTATTCTCCACTATTCACCATAAAGTTATCAAGTGTGTTACATAAATATAAATTAAACAAAGAAACACCCTCCCCCGTTCTTTGTTTAAACAGTCACATATTGTGAAGTCCTAATTAGTATTGACCACAGCAGAGGTTTTTTTTTATTTGCAGAGAAGTAAAAATTCAGAAAAAATGCATTTCATTGAGGACAACAAAGAAAACATTACTAACACTGATATATATTTACCACATTAGATTTATTGTTATGGATTAAAGTCTTACATTAGCATTAGCTTATGCTAGGTTATCTAAACGTTAGCTTGCTAACTTGAGAGGCATGTAGCAAATGACAAGCAGGTTGGAGGTTTGAAGATAATTTATTATTGTTGATTTGTTTTACAGATCAGTTAAATAAACTTACCATGCTCTGTTCAGCCAAATACACTAGACAGTATTGCTCACTGCTTCGTCTGTCCGGAATCTGAAAGTGAAACTTAAGTGAACGACAATAACTTGAAAGTAGTCCTCATGTGCCCTCTGCCGGATACATTGTACAATTAAGGCTGGTTCCAGCATTTTAGGGGTGAAAATTAGAAGTGCTTATACCGGTGCCTCATGGGACAAATATCATGATACGATATGTCTTTAAACATGTCTTTAATTTAGAGGCCTAAATTATCGGCCCTACCAATATATTGGTCGGGCTCTAGTTTGAATGACATTTGGACCAACAGGTTTAATTGTTCCAGGGCTGCAATAGCACAATGCACTACGGTGTCGTGATCTCGTTATCTTGAGGCTGCAATTTCGTTTCCAGGTTGCGTTAGGAAAGACATACGGCATCAAACTCTTGCCAAATATTTCATGTAAGTTCACTCACTATAGCGAATACTGCAGAAGGGAGCAGCCTAAAGGAAAACAACAACAATCTAAAGTGATGGTTGAAGAAGTGGTTGTCAATGAAAAAATCTCAATAGATCAGATCAACCTGTCTGGCATCGACAGCCATGTTTCCATGTTAAAGTCACTTTAAATCCCTTTTTCTCTGTTCTGATGCTTTGGTTGAACTTCAGCAAGTTGTCATCTTTCATAGATATACTTAGTATTTTTAACCAAAGTTCAAAATACTGTGATTGAAAGAACACAGAGACAAAATGTAACAAAGTAAGTGGTTTATTTACAATGTATTGGGGGAGTGGCGGGTAAGAGAGGTGTGTAGGAGGTTCACATAAAACATTGATTTAGTTATAGGTACATTTGTCTTACTTTGTGACGTTTGCATGCCATGCATGAAGAGGGGAGAATGAAAAGATTCCAGAATCAGGGTGATATAAGAATTTCCAGGAGGTGGCGGGCTGGTTTGGAGAGTGGCAGGTTGGTCCAGAGGTAGAAAGGCTGTTTAACCAGTGGTTCTGTAGTAGGGTGAAGTTAGAGACTTTAAGGCAAGGATGTCCAATCCTAGTCTCCAAGGGCCACTATCCTGCAAGTTTTAGAGGTTTCTTTACTCTAACACACACAATTTGAATCAATCAGTGATTACCAGCATTTTGTAGAACTTGAAGAGGTAATTCAACATGGTGTGTTAGAGCAGAGAAACAGGTAAAACAGTGGAATAGCAGCCCTCAAGAACCAGGATTGGGCACCGCTAGGGTGAGGAGAGCAGGCGATTTGGATCCAGGCTCAAGGAGGTAAGGCACAAAAAGGCTGGGAGTCTCAGGAGGTAGTGGATCTAAGCTTGAGGAGAGGAGTCACAAAGAGGTATTAGTGTTTAATGTTCTAGTGAAAAGCTGTGGTCTATCTCAGCCTGATGTCCAGGCGTAGAGCTCACCAGCTGTCACTGGAAACAGCTAGTTTGAATATGCCCAACTACCTTTCTTTTTGAGGGTGGCTGTGGCTGAGTGGTTAGAGCGATCGTCCTCCAATGCAAGCGTTGGGGGTTTGATTCCACCAGCAGTCAATGCTGAAGTGTCCCTGGACAAGACACTGAACCCCTCATCGTCTCCAATGTGTGTCCCATCGGTGTATGAATGTGATAAAGCACTGATTAGTCTTTGTAGATATCTAGTAGAGTGCTGTATGAATGGATAAATGAGGGCACAGATTGTGTTGTAAAGCACTTTGAGTATCTTGATAAAATAGAAAGGTGCTATATAAGCACAGTACACTCCATTTACCATTCAGTTAGTGGAAAGAATAGTAGAAACAGACACTGGAATCCTCACCCAAGTCATCTTTACCATGTCAAGATGTCTACATGCATCCAGAGTTGCTACAATGTGATTGGATCATTAGATATTTATTTCAATAAGAAATTAAACACAAGTACTTAATAAAGTAGGTGAGTGTAAGTTGAGAATTGTCTCTAAAATGTTAGCCAATAAAATAATTTGCAAAGCTCTCTCATCACATTTTCTTATAGTCAAGTTAAAAACCTGGCAGCACAAGACACACACAGCTCACTAGTTGCTTGCAAATTCTCAGAATTCAATCAGACTGAAATTGAAAATTAGTAAATTTTTTCAAATGTTTGGGTTGCCAGTTAGCCTCTAATTGTCACAATGTGGTGAGATACTGGTTTCTGAAAGCTACTGTGTTGGAGTGGTGATGCAACACAACCTGTACATACCGGTACATTCAATTGCCTTCTTCCTCCAATTTTTTTCCTTTATACAGAGATCGAAGCTTATACGAATAAAGGAAGTTGACAAGAGCAAGAAAACATCTCACCATCTACAAGTTCACCTGCAGGCAACAATACAAAGAACAAAACAGAAGAAAAGTCCCTGTTTTCTGTCCCACCACAGATCAGTCTATAGTCTACCTTGATCCAAGAGAACTGAAAGTCCTTCGTATCTCTGCATGTTTCCACAGACTAAATGTCACTGTATCTCCTCTCTTCTTTTCCTCATCAACACCACCTACAGCACTTGTTAACATCAACATATCACAGCAAATTATTGGAAGTTGTACTGTTACAAATCTGTTATCTGTATGCAATAGATAACTGTAAAGAATACAGCGTTTTGTGCATTGTGCAAATAAAAAAGCAGTGTATGTTTTAGCTATACTGTTTGTTGTATCTGTTCCATATCTTTTGCCCTGCTAACAGTAGATAATGTTGTGAATCTTGTCAAGCAGAATAAACAGAACACACACAAAAAGTGAAAAAATCCAGTCAAGTAGTAAGATGTGAATCAATAAAAGGCTTTTTGTGAATATGTATTGGCTGTAAAAAGAAGCTGCTTTATGTATAAATGTAACCCCTTTAGACAAACAGTATGGAAACATTCTGTAAATATATATGTAGATATATAAATTACAGTATATCATTAAAAAAAATCATAGTTTATCAGTATGATCTTCCTCGCCGTGGCTCTGCAGATGTTGACTTTACCTTGTTAATGTGGTAGTGAAAGTAAATTATGGATCGTTGATCAGTCTGTTGGCGTTGCACACAATACAGTTCTTTGGTTCATTGTTGGCATTTGTGAGGAGCTCCATGTGCGTGTCCGGTGTGTGAGTGTGAGAGCGTGTGTAAAGGGGTGGAGTCATGGGAGCATGTGTGTGTCACTTTGTGGACCTTAATGTGTTTAAATGACAGGTTGTTAATTTGTGTTTTATCTCTCTTCTTTATGTGTTCAAAGCTAAAAAAAAATAAAATCCAAAGTTCTTCTTTTATTCTGACCATTGACAAAGTGTGTATGTGTGTGTGTGTACAATGTGCAGATGTATCATGCAATAAAAAGCACATACGCACATAAACTGAAGTGTTTGCTTAGTTGTCTGTTTTGTTTGTACAGTATTTTTTTTCTTTTCATTCATTCAGCCTTTATTTATACAGGTTAGTCTCACTGAGTCACGAGGACTCATTTACAAGAGTTGTTTTAAACAAAAACCATAATGAGGTAAAGACAACTATAAACATTCATATGAAAGCATATAAAATGAAAAGTATATAAAAGAAGTGATATAAAACAAAATAAATAAGATGCTACACTATAAAATGGTGTAAGATACTAAAAACAGCCTGCATTGATTTTTGCATTGAACTTAACAGTTGTTTAAAATCCTTTAGCGAGGTCAAGGTCAAGAGCTTCAGACCTTTTTGCAAGGTGTTCCAGGAAACAGGAGCGGAGTAAGAAAAGACCTTTTGCCAAGTTCGGTCCGCACTGAGGGGACGCTGCAGGTAATGATGTCTTGGGAGCGCACGCTGTAGCTGAACTGACGATGTGACATGTAGAAGATGTATGATATTTTACTCCATATAGCTTTCAATGAAAATGTATGGATATTTTTACTATTTCACATGCTTTTATAATAACATAATATTTTAAAGCTAAACTGAATACTCAAAACATTTTTAGTCATTTAGATCAATATCAAAAGAACTGTGAGATTTAAAGTGAGTTCAAAAATCATTCACCTCCTTGGTAATCTCTAATCTGTTGCCTTAAAACCTGGATTTTAAAATGAATCACGGGGGACTGAGTCATTTATTTATACAACCATTGGTGTCAGAGGCATATTTAATAGGAGTGGGGGGAGGAACAGACTGGTGAGGGGGCGGGGGTGTCTGGAAGTCCTCCCCCCAGAAATTGTTGAATAAAGTAGATGCCATTTCCTGCATTCTGGTGTATTTTAACGGGATGTCAAATAGCTACGTTTACCTACACAAGTAAACACTTGATTCAATAAATATTTTAGAGTGTCCAGCACAACCAGAAGTAGCCTGACCAACAGCTCTCCTTGTGTGAATAGAGCATGCTCCACTTCTCACGTTCCCCACCCTCACCCCCGGTCGACAATTACCGACACTAACGTAGCACTAAGCTAGTGGTGCACAATACAGACGTGCTAGCTAATATGATGTAGACGTAACGCTCCACTTCTTTCATGCATCCTAACCCCCCCACCACCAAGTCAACAACTGCCGGCATAAACAACGTGGCACTAAAAGTTAGCGCACAACACGGAGGTGTCTCTTCCCCCGCCCAGCCAACAAAAAACCCCAAAGAGTTGAGCTCCCTACCAAGCCAAGTTACCTCGGGGAAACACT